TCAAGCGCGAGGCGACCGATCACGAAACATAATAATCGGGCGGCAGATCGGATCTTTCTCCACTCATCAGATCAATCATCCACACGTGAGTGGTGACATCGGCGATACCACACGTGAGTGATGAATAGGACCATCACGATTGATCACGATACCGCCGCTGATCTGCCGAATGGATGATCAATCAAAGCAGGAGGTTGTCGGGACAGTAGACGCACCTAGTCGACCAATCGCCGAACACGAACAGAGAGCTCGCGATCGGTCGATTAATCGCGTGTGCTGTCTCAACGTTGTCACTGCGTGTGTGTTTTTCGCTAGTATCAAATGTAACAACAAAACACACGTGGCACCGTGCGGGAACGACCAACCGGGAGGCAAGCGACCGATCCATCACAATCGTTGATGTACCCCGACTGAACAGTAGACTGGTCAATAGATCCACCACGACCAACATCACTGAACGACTGTTCGGACTGCGGTTGATCCTGCAGTCCACCAACCATACAACCGAACGTGTGTTTGCGTTGCAATCGTGGCATCACCCTTTGCGCGATCGCCCAACCGGCAGGCGCACAACCGATCCAGCAACCGGTTGGCACGAGTAACTGATTAGTTGATTGATCGACTTTTCGGTTTGTGGTTGGCCAATTAGCTGATTGATCGGCCGCTAGCCGACCAGTGCACCGACATGCCAGCAGAGCGGTTCACTTCTCTCGCCCCGATTGCACTGCATTCGACCTGCCTCCTTGTCCATTGGTCGTACGCAGCACGCAAGGCAATTGGTCCACCACACGGTAGAAACCCGTGAAAAAGGTCGATCCCCGTTCGGGAATGGACAAAAAACAGTTTGTGACAACCTTGTTGCACATCGAACGTTGCTGGCCATTGAACCTTGTCGGCCATCGAACCTTGTTTGGCATCGAACCTGGCGCCCCATCAAACCTTGGCGGGCATCGAAATGGTAAAAACCCGTGAAAAAGGTCGATCCCTGTTCAGGAATGGACAAAAAACAGTTCGTGACAACCTTGTTGCACATCGAACCTTGCTGGCCATCGAACCTTGTCGGCCATCGAACCTTGTTTGGCATCGAACCTGGCGCCCCATCAAACCTCGGCGGGCATCAAAATGTTGGCGGAAATCGAACGCCACCGGATGGCAAAGCTCGTCGGTCATTGAAACTTGTTGGTCATCCAACGACGAACGTTGTGCAGCCACCACACGACAGCGGGGGACCTGTGAAAATAAGGAGTCCGCCGGGATCCGAACTTCAAGAAAGCATGGGAAGGCGAGTTTGTAGACATTTGTGTCTCTCCCACGTAATCTCGCCAAACTCGGATCTCGGTGGACCTCCGGTTCACGCCTTCCGCAAGACCCAACACGCGGTGCAACCCCAACGGGCAACCACCCCAGTGGACCTCTGAAAATGTGAAGTCCGCTGGAATCTGAACTTCAACAAAGAATGGAAAGGCGAGTTTGATAGACAACTGTTTCTCTCCCGCGACATTTCGCCAAGTACGGAGCCCGACAAACTTCAGGTTCTTGCCTTTCGTAAAACCCAACTCGAGTTGCAACCCCAGTGCACAACCACAACAGTGGCCCTGTGAAAATGTGAAGTCCGTCGGGATCCGAACTTCAAGAAAGAATGGAAAGGCGAGTTTGATAGACAGTTGTGTCTCTCCCACGGCATTTCGCCAAGTTCGGATCCCAGCGAACT